GATTCAAATGCCCCAGGGTATGAGGAGGGCAATGTGCAAAGCCAGGGGAAGGTGAAGATGGGCAATGGAAATGAGAGGTTTCCAGGGCTCAAGTAAAGCTCCCTCCCAACTCAACAGAGAGGAAACACAATGACCCATAAACATATTTGCCATCATATATATATATATTTATTTTCTTCTTTTGGCTATTTACAAACCTTTATTTCATCATAATTTTCAGAAGCATAATTTTATGGTTTCATTTTTTAAAATTCAGAACTGGTCAAGTCTTTTTCATGCAAGAATTTACATTTAATAAGAATAAAGGGCACCAGGTCATCTTGTGGGGTCTCTGCTGCTCTGCGTCCTTTTGTGGGTCAGGCCATCCAGGGCACGTGGATCTTAGTCCTCTTCCTTTCTTGGTTTTCATCTCTTGGACCCAGCACCTCTCCTGAAGAAGTACATGCGTATATGTGTAGTTTTACTTTATTTCATCTGCCTCCAGAATGACACTGGCTTGACTGGCTTCTGAATAATTCCTTGGCACTGTGGTCAGTTGCACTACACCTGGGTACCTTCAGTTCTGCTGATGATTACTGACCCCAGGGACGCAATCTAACAAGATGGTGGGTGCAAAGTCTCACACATGTTGAGTCAGCAAAGGTGACCCTGACCAACTGGGGCTTTTTCATAATTGAAGTATTTGAGGATGACACTGTAACACCCCCCTCCCTACCCTGAAAACCCAACACTGATAATAAAGATTTCATATTGATCACAGGACATTATACAATAAACATGAACACAATGCATTTTGTAGGACAAGTCACAATTTCCTTTGATGCTCAGCACCACAATAGGGTACCATATTGGTGGATAACTTAGCAAATGCATTCATTAGTTAATAGCTCAGAATGTTAGTTAGCTCTTTTATGTACAGAATAAGGAATGGCCACAGTCTCAGCAAAACACAGCTCTAAAAATACGAAGACTTTGCAGCATTGCTATTAACTAGATGACATGGATTGTAAGAATACATTTGACAAGCTCTAGTAAGACTCAACAGCTCCTCTGTTAGTTCTGCAAAAGCAACCCACAGTGTCAGATGGAACAGGAGAGAATTTGGTAGGAAACATGTCCCACATAAATACAATAAAATGACACTTTGAAGAGACAGAGGGTGTCTTTCCCATGGTAGTGATGGAGAGGGTATTTGAGGGGGAAAGTTAATATGATAGCCCATGTGAGGAAAAGAAAGGGAAATTGGTAGAGGATTAAGTGGGGGTTGTTCCATCCCAGACTTAGCAACACCTTTTCCTCTGCCAAAGATCAAAATTATCTATCACCACAAGCACTCTCTGGCTGGGGCTGAGAGAGGCTCCATGGGCCAAACCCCAGGAGTGCCCTACTTGATGCTCTGCACTTCTAGAGTTATTTAGTGTGAGGTATGAAATAGGAGGGGATATAGGCAGCCAGTTGGAGGAAGGTGTGCCTGTACCACTGGGGACAGCTGAGGATAGGGCTCAACAATGATGCTGAAGACAGAACACACATTGAACATGACAAGGGGCGATCTGGCAATTTTCAAGCTAAAATGACCAAGTCCATGGCAAACTCACAAGGTTCAAGTTTCTGAAAAGATGTCATTGCCAGACCTCCACCTCACCTTGACACTTAGCCTCACACAGTGTGAGTTGCAGTACAGTTCAACACATTGCAGCACATTAGGGCAATATATTCTTTTTAAGATATACTATTATATCTAGCTATGTGAATCTATAGATATTTACAACTGGCTTCTCTACTCTTCTTCTGTGCTTTGAAGTTTTCCTGTGCATTGCTGCCAGACACACCCTAAACCCCATTTTTGTCCCCGCTGATCTAGTCTCTTTCACTAGTATGACCTCACCCTAAATGAACTGTTTGCCTCCTATAGGGCTCAAAGGCCCTCCAGGATCTTGGAAACCCAAATCCAAACCAACCAACCAACGTTTAAGTCTTCCTGTAGCCATGGTGGGAGCTTCATATGTGGGGTCATTGCTACCCCTCCAGCCTGGATCTCTCTGTGAGGGGTGTCCAAAAAGAAAGAAGCAATCTTAGACTTTCCAAGGGCAACTTTCTTGTTTTTAATCTGTCTTACAAGATGTGTGTGTGTGTGTGTGTGTGTGTGTGTGCGCGTGCGCGCACATGTGCGCATACAAGTGCAAACACATGTGATTGTGTTTGTGACATATGTGCGGCTGTGTGTTTGTGTATGTATTTATGTGTACTAGTATATGTATATACTGCTGAGGGTGAGTGCCCAACATGTGTATCATGTATGTGTGACTCTGTAGATCTCTGTGGGTGTGTATGTGTAGGAGGCTATATTTATATGCTGCATCTATAGAAAAGAAGAGGAGAGGTGACAAAATGGGTTGATCCTGGCAGGCAGTCCCTGGGACCTATTGTACTTCTCTTCTTGGTCAGCCTTCTCACCTTTCTAATTATCTCTTTCCCTGGAGGGGGTGGAAAGAGGGAGTTCCAAATCCAAGGCTGAAGTTCAACAACAACCATCCCAGGGTAGCTACTAAAGCACTGCTGCCCCTGAATGGACTCACCACCACAGTCCATGCCTGCAGCCATCTCCCAGGTACCTTTGGTTCTCTGCATCCAGCTGTTAGCATCCAATTCCCTGAGTCATTTCCTCACATCACCAACTTGCTTGGGGCTGCCTCCAAGGTCAGGCTTACAAGGTGGTTGAAATAAAGGGATGAGTTATCAAGGCTATATACAACCATCTCTATAGTTCTTTAGTTCTTTATATCATATTTCTGTTCTCAATGCATCTTTAAGGCATTCCAAACACGTCCTTCCAGGACAAAGCAAAATGCTCTGCACTCCCAACTTATCCCACAATTGAGCAATTCCTACCTTAAGGCACTAAATTATCACTTCCTAAGACTTTAGGACTACATTCACTTCTATCCAGGAGATAGCACAAATGGGTGGAGGGAGAAGAAGAGAAGCCACTCCCTGAAACAGGAATTGGAAAGAAGCAGTTAATCAGCCTGGCCAAAAAGACACCTCCCCCTTCATGTGGGAACAGGCCAAGGGAATTCTGTTGGTTCTAGAAGAGCCACCAACAAGAAATACATATGTTTTCAGGTGTATTTCCTTTCACACCCATTCAAATCAGATAAACAAGCATAAGTATGCACACGTGCACTTAGGCCTACACTCAGAATATACCCATGTGTGTACACACAAGCACACACATACATAAATCACAAGTTTACACACTCTTTCATAAAGGTGCATACACACATATATGTATCCACACATTGTTATATATACATTCTTATACATACCAATAGAGATTTACACTGATATACATATAGCTATACAGCTTCTCAAATAGTTGTATGTGCACATAGAACTACCTTGATGCACACACACACACACACACACACACACACACACACTGGTATACACAGAAACAAACACAGAAACACAGTTAAAAGGGGAGGTGACTGAGGGATTGCAGGGAGGCTGCCTAGGAAGGAAGGAGGATCATATGCTGAGTGCTTTGCAAATCTTGTTCCTCCATGACCTCAATCAAAGAGTTGGAGTTGTTTGGCACATTAGAGCACAAACGAATTTCTACTTCCCTTAGAAGCCCCAGTGAGTGGGCAGTGCCCATATTCCATGTGTTCACACTGGTCACTGGCCTCTTCCTGCAGAAATGCTCCAGGTACCATAGAATGAGGTGTGGTGCCTAGCAGAACCTGATGGAGCACCCCCTTTTGTAAAGTGGAGGGGAGAAAAAGGGAGTGCCTCAATTGAGAGAGTTAAGTGGACAAGAAGGAAGAGCAAGTGGTGTGGCTTTACCACTTACTGGCTGCATGTTCTCAAGTTCCATTTTTCCCCCTTGGAACATTGGGACAATGTGCTTTGCCTTCTCTAGCTCACAGGGCTCCTGTGAGGGTCTGACGATATGATGGTTCAGTGAGCTATTGACACTACACTGGACAAATAGAAAGGATTAGTATAGAGATTCACAACAGTTGTTCATCTGCTATTCTAGATCAGATGGTGAAGTAGCAGGTCAGAACTTTTCTAACTCTAATCTTCACTCACCACGTATTTGTTCTATGACTAGTGTTCAAACCAGCATCTGACCTAGACAGATGTACTAAGTCCCTATTGTCAAGCATTCTGGAGCAGAAACATAGACAAGAGAAATATAGACAAAGATGCCAGTTCAATTTGGTTAATCTCCAAAATCTCCAACTTGACATTACTCAGCACCTCACAGCTCCTGCTAGAAAAATGCTCTCACCTGACATTTCACTCAGCACCCCTATCTACCCACCTACATTCCACTCCCAATCTTGTGCTACAACAACACACTCAAAATAAAACAGAAAAATAGTGCAAAAAAGGCACTTTCAAAAGTCCTCAGTTTTCCTAGAGCCAGTCTACTGCACTTCCAAGCCATAGATAGCCCTTTCCCTGTGCATCCTAGCCCAACTAAGCTTGACTTTCTCCCATAAAACCCTAAGCAACAGGTGAGCAAGGACCATAATCACTAGGAGGGGGGAAAAGCATAAGAAAAAAGTAATGAAAAAGAAAATTCAACACTTTAGGGGGACAGAAAAGTCACCAGAAATGTTTGTGCAAAGGGCTCAGCTACTTCCTCTGTCCCTCAAGCTGGCTTCTCTCTGTCCTCTAAACATTTCCAGGGGCTTTTCTGTACTTATTAGATATTAAAAATATTTGAAAAGGTGGCAGTCTTTCAGTAGAAATGGAAAATCAATTAGCTATTGACCTCTAACTCTTTCTCAATCCCTTTCCTTCCAGCCAGAACACGTTATTACCAACTACTCACCACCTCATGTTTATAAAGAGAAAGGTAGAACTGATTTGACTGTCCAAATAACCAAAATTAAATTAACAAAGGAAAGAAGGCAAAATGGAACCAAAATAAACTGTGAAAGGAGCACAGCACAGTGTCCCTGCTACTCTGGGGCACTATGGGACTAAAAGCCATGGTATGGCCAGTAAATAATGTTGAACACCACAAAGGCAAGAGGGAAGAGGATCCGGCACCACTTATCAATCTTAGGAATGTAGTCAGGGTCAAAGATCTCAGAACAAAACCTTTCCCTGCAGGAGTGCCCAGGGCTTGGGGGGCAACTATCATCAGATTCTGAACTACTGTCCTCATCTTCATCAAAGCCCATGAAATTGTCATCATTATGGCTCCAGGCAGTGTCAGCATCACGCTGTAGTTGGTTCTCAAGGTCAAGGTAGTCTTGTTCAACGTTGATGTCACCAGGCAAGTGAAGGAACTCCTCACGGCATCTATGCATGTTATCAGGCTCACAGCTTGCTTCTTGCACACACCCCTGGCCATGGACGAGCAGATGCTTTCTATTGGGGCCATAGCCATGGTTGTCATCCAAGCTGTAGCTCTCTTCAGGGTCTTCTGGGTCACAGAAGGTCTCGGTATGGCAATGGGCATCACCAGGATTGTAGATTTTGGTAGGAATAACACTGCCATCAGTCTCAAAACCATTAAAGTGGGTGTCACCGCTGTGCAGTGCCTGCTCTGAGGTGGAGGAGAGATCATTCAAGCTTTCTTCAGTGGCCAGCCAAGACTGGAGCGAGAGCGAAGACAGTGAGCTGAGGCTTTCTGAGGTGGCCAGTGGGACCCGCTCTGAGATGAAGGTCAAATAGTCGAGGCTTTCTGGGCTTGCTGAGTGGGCCTGCACTGGTCTAGAGAGAGGAGAGCCACTTTCGTCTTTGATGTCAAACTGGTCATCTTTTGAGGAAATAGTGGATAGACTCATAAAGTCGGCAGATTCACATCCTACATGAATAACCACTTTCGGGGAGGGAGGAGCACTTGTGATCGTTTCGACTGACAGAATCTCCTCTTCCTGGCTTCTCTGGCACACACGGGGCTGAGGAACAGGACCAAGAGGCTGTTAGCATGTAAGGGAAGTCCCTGGTGGCTGCCAAATCTGTGTAACTCTGAGGCAGCTGCTCCCTCTGGAGTGCTGTGTGGTGAACAAGGCAAGGCCTCCTCAGGCAGTTAAGATTTGGCTCCCTGTGAAAGAGGGAGTGGTGCTAGACATTAATGTACCACCAGTAGCAAAAGCCTCAGCATGGCTTTGGGAGTCAGAAAAGCAAAGGAAGGAAGGGTAGACCAGCTCTCTGTTGTCTGGTTTTTTTTCCCTTTCGACCTCCTTATGCTCCCGTTTGCTCTGGCTCCATCGCTTGCCCTTGGAAGCATGCTAAGTGGACTAGATTTGAAGACCAAAGGTCTGGGGAAATCTAGCTTTGCCACTTACAAGCCTTGTGACTTGGAACAATGTCTTAACCTATAGAGGAGTGATAATACATTTTTCTACTTCTTTGTTATCTGGTGTGTGTGTGTGTGTGTGTGTGTGTGTGTGTGTGTGTGTGTGTTAAAGGAATTACTAAGAAATGTGAAAGGGTCAAGTGCTAAGCTTAGGCTAAAGCGGTACTCAGGAAAAGCTGATTATCAGCCAAAATGTCAAACCTGCAGCTCTGATTCCTCCTGGTAGCGATAGTGATCCATGATTTTTCGAGCTCTGCTGCATTGCCTATGACGGCGCCGAGTTCCTACTCGGCTGTAGAAAAGATAGTTGATGTAGACATATTCCAGCAAGGACAGGAACACGAAGAAGAAGCATACAACCATATAGATGTCAATGGCCTTGATACAAGAAAATTCAGGGAGTTTTTCCCGCAGGTGTGAATTGATGGTGTTCAGGATGAACATTGAAGTCAGACCTATAAACAACATGGCATAGGTGGCTGAAGTTCTTGGCAAACCATTGGACTCATAGTACAGGAAGGGAGCAAAGACAATTTCTGGGGTGGGGAGGGTTCTCAGCAAAAAAAGGCCTTCAGCTCTCTAAGTGTGGGGCCTTTCCTCTTTTTTTCCTCCTCCCCATCTTTACACTGAGCCTGTGCTTCAATAGTTCAGTGACTTCTCATTGCTCTTAGGATCAAGTAAAAATTCTCTAGCTATGATTTCACAGTGATTTACATCTCCAGTCCCATTTTACCCTATAGTGGCCCTTACCCTTTGGCTTCTAGTCCATATGCTTTTCTTTAGTTCCTCAATACTAAATGAGATCACATCCCTAGAAGGTTTTGTGAGCCCTAAAATATTACAGAAATATAAAGTTTTAGTATAGTATATGTTCCTAAAGAAGGAGTCTAAGGAGTCTGCCTCAAAGACGGTGAAGGAGAAACCATGCATTTCTGATCTGCATTTAGGACTTGTCCATTCATTTATATATCCAGAAAATAATGAATTCTGGTACTTTGGGCCTAACACATGAAGATCCCAGCCCTTATTTATTTCACACCTGTTGGTCTCTCTGCTGGGGATTGGCTGAGTACCTGTACAAATGCTTTCCTTGCCCTTGCAGTCACACACTGTTCCTATACTTTTCCCTTACTTTCAACTTTTTTTCCTCTCTGGGATTTGGGAGAGAGGGAGGGAAAGACCTACCGATTGTCACCCTGGCTACAGAAGATTCATAGTTCATCCAAAACGTTGCCCAAGAAGCAATAGTGGTGATGATAGTAGGCCAATAGACCTGCACAAGGTAGTTGATAATTTTCCTCTGGATCAGGAATCTCAGTATTAGTCGCACATAGGAACCTGGCAAGAAGACATACTGTTAACAGGGTGGCAGGTTCAAGGGGATTTTCAGGGTTAAGTATAGGATGGAGGAAGGGAAATCAATGGGCAGTTCAATTTCTAATACTACAGCCTTGGTGGTCTGCCGAACAGACCACATTTGCTGCCTTAAGGACAGTGACAATGGCACGTGTCCATATGGCATAGCAAATCTGCTTTCTTCTTCTTCCTTTCTCCCTTCCTCCATGTCAACTGAAATTTAAAAATTGGAGAGACATGACATGTTTTAAAGCTGCAAACAGATGGAGGGTGAGAGGCTGGCCCTGAGAGGAGGCCTGCTTTTATCAACACAAGCATGAATTCTTTATACCTGTGGAGTGTTAAACTTGGCCAAGTGCTTCCACACCCATTTCCTTATTTGCAGAGAGTAAGCCACAGGGACTTTAAGAAGAGTGTTTTTGGAAGGTTCCAGAATCAGAAAAAAAATAGCAAAGGAGGCCATGCAGAGTGTAGAGGTCCAAGGCAGAGGTCCCCAGAAGTTTATCAGGGTACCAAAGAGACAAGAGACAGGAGACAAGGAAGTAGTTAGACCCACCTGTGTAGAAAATCTCCTCTTTTCTAGTTATTATTTTTCCCAGGAGGTTAAACTGAGGGATCTGTAGCTTTTCAGTCCCCTGGATGGCATTCTCATCACCTTCCCAGTATAACATGATGTCTTCAACCGTGTAACCATCTGGGAAACAGAGAGTAACAGAGTTATCCAATCTCAGAAAGCAGGGATAGGCAGATTTCACACTAGCACAGTCTGTGGAATCAAAGGATGGTTGATACCTGCACTTTGGGGGTTCCTTTGTGTTTTGCTGAGTCTGAGCATTGGGGAGGGGGGCACTTGGAAAGGGAACTCTCAGTTTGGAGGTGTATTGTTGTTGTTGTTGTTTAGCCAGGAAGGAAAGCACAGCAAAGAAATGTGTTCCTACCCACTAGCTTGTGCATAATTTCCCAATAGCAGGGTAAAATTTTCTCATGGGACTATTTACACCCTAAAGTCCACCTTCTCCCAGATGCCATGTCTGTCTATCTATCTATCTATCTATCTATCTATCTATCTATCTATCTATCTATCTAGGAGAAAAGAGACAGGGAGGGAGGGAATAGGGGAGATGTGTCATTCCTGTCACTATCAAGTCTGTCTTTAGTTTCTCAATGTCCACAAACATAGGTAGGGAAGAAGGGTCCATGAGAGATAGACATACAGCTCTCCACCTCCAGCTTGCAAATCTGCTTGTCCAAAGGGTATTTCTGAAGATTCATAGAACAAGCTGCTGTGGTGGTGAGTCTGCAAAGGAAAAGCAAAAGGAAAGGAAAAGTGAGTCTAGCCCAGGCAAGCAGCCACTCCTGAGAACATTGCAACGTTGGGGAAGGAGAGGTATCCCAAGGACTGACCTGTCCAACACCTTCCTGTACTTCCTACACTAGAGCTGAACCCTCCCTCCCTCCCTCCCTCCCTCCCTCCCTCTCTTCCTTCCTTCCTTCCTTCCTTCCTTCCTTCCTTCCTTCCTTCCTTCCTTCCTTCCTTCCTTCCTTCCTTCCTTCCTTCCTAAAGGTAAGATGACTTACAATTATGTAAGGAGAAGAGAGGGACATTGTATGTGACAAAGAAACCAAAATATCTGGCTGGACTTGAATGAATAATACATGTGTGGCATGTCAGGATACCTCAGGGTGTCCGAAGAAGAAGGGCCCTTGAGGAAACTGAATGCAGAGACAGAAAAAAAGGACTTTCTTGCTTAAGAAACAGCAAGATTGCCAAGAGGAAACTGCTGCACTGAAGCAGCTAAAGCTCCACATCTTCTGTGCAGTGCTCACATGAAGTCCTCAGGTATGGATGTAAACAGTGGCCCAGACCCATCTTTGGCCATGGAAGCTGTTCCCACCCCACAGTGCTCTCATCTTTGTGTATCAGACTTTGAGGGTACTGTGAACTAGCAAAATGTCAGTGGATATAAATGGGTAGGAGGGATAAGGTGGGCCATGAAGTGTTGGGCAGAGACTTCAAGTAGCCTTGTGTTGGGTCCATGAGAGGAATCTGAGGAGGAATCTTGAAGAAGCTGGGGAAATGGGAGAAGTGACCAGTGCAAACAGGATAGTTTTAAAAGCTCTCTGTCATCTGAGCTGGGGGGCTCTGCTCCAGCCCTTATTCTACCATTCCCAGCAGCTAACCCCAGCCTAGTCCCTTTCAACTTTTGAAATGATGTCCATTTTTCACAGTGGGTAGGTTTTGTGTGTGTGTGTGTGTGTGTGTGTGTGTGTGTGTGTGTGTCTCCCTTCTGTGAATCCTCCATGCAGCACTAATCAGATGAGGTCCCTTTTAAATGAAACAAGTGTGATCAGTGTCTTGTTCCATGTAAGCTTTGTTATTCTCTGACTCCAGCACCTTGTTCCATGGGACAGTGGATGGGCAAATAAGAGGGAAACAAGATACAGAACAGGAGTACCCTAATGAAAGAGAGACCCAGAGATAGAGCTGAATCCTGACAGCTACCTCTTGGGGAAATTTTCTGAGCTAAATTTCTCTCTTATGTCTAAGTGATGGTTTGTAAGAGATGACACTGTGTGGAGAACATTGGTGGCTGTCTGCAATGCTATATATGAATCAATGAGGAGTTCTAGCATGCACACATTCTGTGCATGCAGAGCCACAGATAATACACCCATACTGCATACCGCTGGGTCTCTACATGATACAAATATGACCAATGGCACAGCTCGGGCCCCCTCCCTTACTGCATGGACTTCAGAATTTATATGACTCCCTCCCTCACTACATGGGAGAGAAATGACACAAAGATAAATAACAGAATTCTATAATGCTAAAGCATTGATTTTCCAGTTGAAAGAATCAAGGAGGATTTATTGACAAAGAAGGCATTTGAGTTAGCAACTGAATGATGGCCAAGATTTGGACTCATGGAAAGGGCCACTCCAGACAGAAGCAACAGCAGAAGCCAAGGTGTGGAGACAGGACAGCTAAGGATGTCTGTGGAAAATTGGGTAGGATGAGTGAGGGGGCAGTGCAAGACAGGTTTGAAGAGCAACGGGATCCTCCGTGTGTTCCTTAGAGTGCGTTCATGGGATACTCAGTGGGAATAATGAAGCCTGCCAGGAGGCTCCCCTGACCTTTGGGAAACTCACCGGATGCCATAATGCACTGTTCCATCTGGGTGAAGCTGAAACATACGATTTTCCACAGTCATGTCAGGCACTAAGGTATCCTTGCTATTTAGAAAGTAGCAGTCGGGGAGCCACAACTTGTCAGCCATCCGATAGTCCAAAGTCAAGTTTAAGTTGGTCTCACAGTATGCTAGACGTGGATCTTTCCAGGTTTGATGAAAAAACATTGTGACCTTACAGTCCTGGGGAAAGAAAAGTAAATCTCAATTGTGAGCAAGGTTGTCCAACTTTTCATTCTCAGAGTGTGTGTATGTATGCAGGTGTAAGAAATCTATACTAATAAAAGCCTAGGTGGTCCTCACACCCTCGGGCGATGGCCTCACGTCATCACAAGATGGCCACCACAAGATGGATGGCAGGGAAGGGCAGTTGGGGGTGAACAGGCCATCAGGGGAGGGCAGTTGGGGGTGAACAGGCCAGCAGGGAAGGGCAGTTGGGAGTGAACAGGCCAGCAGGGGAGGGCAGTTGGGGGTGAACAGGCCTGCAGGGGAGGGAAGTTGGGTGCTACCAGGCTGGCAGGGAAGGGCAGTTGGGAGCGATTGGGTCAGCGGGGGAGGGCAGTTGGGGGCAATCAGGCTGGCAGGGGAGGGCAGTTGCAGGAGATCAGGCTGGCAGGGGAAGGCAGTTGGGGGCGACTGGGCCAGCAGGGGAGGGCAGTTTGGGGTGACCAGGCTGGCAGGGGAGGGCAGTTGCAGATCAGGCCAGCAGGGGAGCAGTTAGGGGTGATCAGGCAAGCAGGCAGGTGAGTGTTTAGGAGCCAGTGGTCCTGGATTGTGAGAGGGATGTCCAACTGCTGGATAGGACCTAAACCGACAGTTAGACATCCCCTGAGGGGTCCCAGATTGCAGAGAGTGCAGGCCAGGCCGAGGGACAACTCCCCCCCACCCCGCACAAATTTTGTGCACTAGGCCTCTAGTCCTATCAATAAAAGCCTATGTGGTCATCACACACTCATGCTGTGAAGCCCTCATGCCACAATGAGCAATCACCAGGAGGCTGCGTGCGCAGTGGGTGCACATGGGTGGGCGGGGCTGCGTGCGCACGCAGGTCGGCAGGGGCTTGATGCTGCATGCACAGCATGGAGGTGATTCCCGTGGCTCCATGCAGTGAGGCCTGGGGTCCCACAGCTCCATGCAGCACGGAGGCAGGACCCCCGGCTCTGGCTTACTTCTTTGGGGCAATCCATTGAGGAGCCCCGGATGGGTGGGCAGGGCCTACCTCTTTGGGGTGATCGATCACAGGGTTACCGCACTGTGAGAGGGCACAGGCCAGGCTAAGGGACCCCCCCCCCACTCTGAGTGCATGAATCTTATGCACTGGGCCTCTAGTACATTATAACTATTGATGACTAATGAAACATATGTAAGAATGTTAAATGTTAAGAATAATAAAATTAACTCTGGGGAATTAAAATCCAGGTTAAGAAATAGAACATTATCAATAATTTTCAAGTTTCGATGTATCCCTTTCAGAATATATTTCCTACACCTCCCAGCAGTAACCATTTAAATCTTAGATTTAAATGACAAGAATTCCCTTGTTTTATGTTGAAGTTTTTTTTAATCTATGTATGTGTTTCTAGGAAACATATTGCTTAGCTGGGCCTATTTGAAAATTTTTTTTCCCAAATGGAATCAAACTGTATGAATTCATAATATTCTTATTTCACTCAAAATTATATTTGTGATATTCATTCAGGTTGCTGTGTGTAATTAAAATTTGCTCACTTGCATTGCTTACATATTGGATAATATTTCTTTATATGAATATACTATGTATATTATTGTGTGAACACACCATTCATGCCAAAATCACAATGAAATAAGAATTATAAAGTGAAAGTTCTACGTCACACCCCCTCTAAGAACAGATGGGAGTTTCTAATGCTCCTGCCTTGCCAACATTGATATTGTCTGACTTTTGACTTTTGTAAATCTGGTAGATAAGTAATAGGGTCTCATTGTGGTCTTATTTTTCATTTCACTGATTAATAATAAATTCAAGCATATTTTCATATTTTTATTTGCTACTTAGTTTTCTTCACAAAAGTAAAGTTCATGTTCAAATTTTCTGATCATTTTCTTTTTGGTTCTTAGTATTCTTTTTATTAGTCCACATGAATTATTTATATTTTTGTATCAGTCCTTTGTGCTGCAAATATCTTAGTCCATTCTAATTTATCCTTTCACACTTGTTAAACTGGTTTTGTTTGTTTTGCAAAACAAAAGTTCCAAAAGTTTTGGCTAAACATAATTTTTATATAGTTGAAGTTACCAGTATTTATTTTTATGGTTTGTGTTTTGTCTTTTTTTTTATTATTAAGTCCTTATCTACCATAAAGGTGTAAAGACAGTATCCTATATTATCTTTTAGAAACTTCATAAATCTTTTAGGTCTAGAATCCATATGGATTTATTTTTTTTATTCCAAGTAGTTGTAGTTTCCAAAACCTACTGTTTCTCCATATGAGCTATGTTGCCTGTCAGAACAACTGGAGTTGGCTTATGACTTTGCCCATTGTTCCATGTACTTTGTCCCTAGTTTTACAGCTGGAGCTGGCACACTTACCATAGTTATTTCTGAGATGTGTTCAATATTGGAGACATACATAGATATTCCCACAGGCACAGGGTCACCTGCAATACAGGAAGACAATATTACATGTAGGGTAAGATAAAGGGTAAGAGTCTGAATTCAGGAGCCAGACTGCCTGGTTTTGAAACCCATTTTGACACTTACTAGCTGTGTGACCTTGAATAAGTTACCTAACCTCTCTGAGCCTTTATTTCCTCATGGGTAAAATGAAGATCATTTAAGCACTGGTCTCATAGTTAATGCAGACCAAGAACTTAGAGTAGGGCCTGGCCCCTGATACACTAAAAAGGAAGAAATTAGGGCAAAATAAAGAGAAAATAAGGTGATGAAGCACTCTTCTTTTAAATGTTTTCCTGATAAAAACTAAGGCACAATAAACCCAAAACCAAGAGCTAAGATATTTGGTGTGTATGATATTTGTATGAGTGCATGTGGGTGTGTCCATGTGTGAGGGAAGGTGTGTCTTTGTGTGAATGAATGGGTGAGATGTGCACATGAGTTTATGTGAGCATACTCACAGGGATGAGTAAATATGTGAGTGTGTTCATGTGCAGGTGAATGTGTCATTGTGTACATAAGTATATGTGAGCATGCCTGTGTGTGAGAGAATGCATGAGCATGATTGTGAGCTTCAGTGTGTGGTCTGAGAGTAAATGTGAGCACATATACATGTATATAGGCATGTTGTATGAGAGTGAATCTGTTAGTGGGTTCATGTGCAAATGAATATTTGTGTGTGAATGAGTGAATGTGTGACTATGTGTGAGTGTTATGTGAGTTTGTTATCATGTAAAGAAATGTGTGAACATGGGTGTATTTGGGAACATATCTGTGTGTGTGAATGTGTGTATATGAGTATATCCATGTGCATGAGTGAATCTGTGTGTATTCATATGTGTGAATGCATGAACACATTTGTGCTTGCATACATGGTATGTGATTAAACATGTAAGTACATGCAATCATGTAGGCATGTTGGTGTGTGGAAGTGAATTATGAATGTGTTCATGTGCAAGTGAATACATGAGCATCTTTGCATTTGCAAGTTTGTCTGTACATGAATGAATTTGTATTTTCATGTATGTGAGCATCTTTGTATGTGAGTGACTATGTGACCATGTACATATGTGAATAAATGTGGGCATGTTTACATGTATGAATATTTCAATATTATTTAAATGTTTTTGAGGGAGTGAATGTGTGAGCATCTTTATAAATATGAGTGTATTCATGTGAGTGTATTAATGTGGATGTGTGAGTGAAGGTATGCGAGCCAATGAAGGTAAGAGCACATTTCTGAGTGAATGAATGTGTGACCATTTAATTGCATTTAATTGAGTGTACTGTGTGGGAGTGATTATGGGGTTGTCTCTGTGAGATTGTTTACATATTAGTATATTTGTTCGCATGTCCATGTGTGAGTGAATACATGGTCATGTTTGTGTGTATAAAGTTGTCTTTACATGAGTGTATGTGGGTATGTTTGTGTGTTGAGTCAATATGTCTGTTTACATGCATGAGTATGTTCATGTGTGAGTCTGTGTTAGTATGTTAAGTGCATATAGGAGGGAATGTATAAATGTGTGCTTTTATGAACATTTTTGCATGAGTGACTGCATGTGTGTGAGTGAATATTTGGGGATGTAAGAACTTTTGAGTGTGTGATTGCATGTGTCTGTGTGAGTGAGCATGTTCATTGTGTGAATATGTGAATATTTGTGTGTGTTACCTTGTTCATATGCAAGAAATAACTGTAATACATTATCACACTTATATATTCACATTCATCATATGTATATATGTGTACGTAAGCATATTTATGTACTTGAGTGAATGTGTGAGCATGTCTGTGAGTGTAATTGAGTGTGAGTCTACGTGAGTGTGGTTGTATGTGAGTAAACGTGTGGCCATGCTGATGTGCAAGTGAGTTCATGAGCAAATTCATGTGAGTTAGTATATCACTGTGCAGGTATGAGTGAATTGTGAGCATGTCAATATGTGCATTTGTGCATGCTGATGTCTATATGTATTAATGAGTGAGCATGTTTTTGTGTGAGGATATTTGTGTGAGTTGATAAATATGTGGACATGTTTGTGTGTGTGAATGAGTGTGCTCATGTGTAAGTGAATACATGAGTCTGTTTGTGTGTTAATGTGGGAGTATGTGTAAGTGAGTGAATGCATAATTTAATGTGTGTGAATGTTTAAGTATGTATGTGAGTGAATTTGTGAGTGTGATTGTGGATGTGAGCAAGTTTGTGTGTGGATGTTTGGCTATGTTCATGTGCATATGTGAATGTCTGAGCATGTGCATGTGAGTGTATGTCAGTGTGTATATATGTGTGAGTAAATTCATTAGTGTATTGAAGAGTGTGTATGTTAATATGGTGTGTGTGTGTGATTGAATGTGTGAGTGTGTTTCTGCCTCCTGGCTTTCTTTTTTAGACCTAGGTCTGAGTGCTGCCCATTCAAATGTGATCAGGAATGTGAAAATATATACTAAACTATAAGATATTGTGGAAAAATGCATTTTCATTGTTTCCTCATTGGATCAAAGCTGCCTTCACCAAGCCCCACAGCTAAGTCATTATTCTATGTGTAGTACATCACACTGCTGCTATGGAAACATGTATGACACCTGCAATTCAGCCCATTGGTTTCATTGCAGGCTGACTACCCAGAAGCTGAGTTGCTAAGTGGGAAATGTGTTATTCCTATCTCAGTTCTTCAAAATGCAAAGTGCTACTGGGATTCAGCCTATGAATGGCAGCTGAGAAGTAAATGGGCCTCTGTGTGAGGTCATAGCCCAGACTCTAGCATTCAGGTTTATTGTGAATAATCCCCAGAAAAGTGCTCTGTAGTGACAGGGGTTTCTAGAAATGAAGTTCTTTATTACAGGCTTTCAGGTTCCCTGCATTCCTTCAGAGGATGGACACTGTGTTAGGCAAGTATCAAGCCCCAGAGAGGACAGGCAGTCAACCCCTCACTACCTCACTGCACTGTCAGACTTCTTATCCTAGACTAGTGATGGCAAACCTATGACACGCGTGTCAGAGGTGACACGCGAACTCATTTTTTTTGGTTGATTTTTCTTTGTTAAATGGCATCTAAATATATAAAATAAATATCAAAAATATAAATCTTTGTTTTACTATGGTTGCAAAGATAAAAAAATTTCTATATGTGATACGGCACCAGAGTTAAGTTAGGGTTTTTCAAAATGCTGATATATTGTGAATCAGCCACATCTGACAATCCCCAGAGGTTAGTCCTTGCCCTGCTCCTTACCCCTAGCCCTGGGTGTAAACAGAGATGGCATCTTGAAACATTTCTGTATACTGAAATGGATGTTGGTCAGCCTTTACTGAGAAACAAGAGAATGAGGAAAAGAGAAAACATAGTAGCTACTCCCTTGACACCCACCCACTGGTGCTTGGTGCAACTGATCAAAAACCAGTGTTATGAAATGGGATACTGGCTGTGCCCTGACACCTGAATTTTTATATTGAAAAGAGCTTGCCTTCTGCCCTCTCCACTCCTGCTTCCCAGTCCCAGTGCACACTCACCTTGGATCCTGGGGCTGCACATTCTGCCCTCATGGAAGGAGCACACAGCAAAGGAGACACAAGTGAAGTGTCCCACCTCCAAGCTTAGCCCAGGTGACCACCTTGGTTTTCAATGTGCCTCCCCAGGTAATTCACAGTCTTCCACCCCTCTCCCAGAAAAGGTCTATGACAAAGGAAATTCCCCACAGTTGTAAGCCCTTTAGGGTGGAGGCATTGCATATTCAGATGACCTTTCTCTATTCATATGTACAAATGTTAACCATTAGCATTCATTAACACTTTAGAATGGGGGGTCTACTACCACCTGCAGGAAGTGGAATGCTTTCTCTAACTTAGCCATTCACTCTCTTTTTTTGTGTGCTTCTTTTCTGTTCCTTTGAGCAGAAATGTGACTAATCTCTATTTAATGCACAGTTCCTTTTGCTTGTCCTTGGTCTAGGTTTTCTGGGTGTCCCTTGGGCTAGAGGATGCTACTCCTGTTCTGAGGGTTGCCTGTCCCTTATAAATTCTGACCTAGGCCATTTGCCTTTTCCAAGCGTGTGTGTGGGGGGTATGTAGAGATATAAGGAGAAACTGATGTATTGGCTTCCTGGAGGTTCGAGCATCAGTTTATTTGTCATTTCTCATCTCTGTGCTTGAGGTCTGAGTGCTAAAGTAAAGAGTTTGGATTTTATTTGTCAGTTAAATAAAGCCATCAAAAGTTCCTGAGGTGATAAGGCTGAATTTATAAAGATCATGCTGCCTGGAGTGTGTTGAATAAAATGAGCTTGGTGGGAACTAAAGGTTTAGGGAGTAGACAGAGGACCGGTGAATAGGTGACTTGGACAACACAGAGGAGACCATGCCTTTAATTTTGAACTAGCTGAATAGGGTGAGTGTCCAGGGTGCCCAGAATGTATATTCAAGTAGAAGAACATGTTACTCTCCACAGATGGGACAGAAAATTCTAGCCTGAGAAGCATGACACTTGTTTTGTTTGGCATATCCATTTCTGGGGTTAGCACTATCCCAGCCACAGCAGAAAGTGCTCTTCAGGCTTTCTCTGTGTAATTGTAAGAGTATGGAGGTAAAGAATAGGGCTTCTTTCAGAAAAGTGGGGGAAACTCCAGGGGTAGAGCAAAAGGCCTGGAGATTGGAGGCCGGATGGTGTTCACTGCAGATCTCTGAAGGGGAGAGGCAGAAGTATTGAGTCAGGGGAGTGCCACTGGTCAGCTTATTGAGTAGGGGTAGCTTGTTGTATCTCAGCTCTGTTCCACCTAACATGACTCTAGTGTCTGGACGTATCTTACCTCCAAAATGTGGTCTCAGACGGGCATCATATCCTGACAGCACCCTGTCCAAAATCTTGTTAACCACAGCTTCATTTGCACAATTTTTGCTAAAACAGAGAAGTCATCAGTAAATGACACATTGCTTCTCAGAGAACAAACACCAAAGAGCACGCCAGGTGTCACCTTGCCAGGGCCTTCCCTTCTCCTGCACACACACAGACATGTACAGTCATACATGTATGCGTCTCTCCCTGCTCCCCTCCCTCTCTACAGTGAGTCAGCCAGAAGTGCAGCAGTGACGCACTTTCCTCCTCCCCCTCCAAAGCTTTTATCCAGAGGATGGGGCACACAGATTGGATCCTGGTTACTAGGCAGGTTTAGGGGTAGAAAGGGGGAAGGCTATAGGGGATGTGGAGAGGGGATGGAGGGGACAGGTGGGAACCCTCAGATAAAAGAAACCTCACCTTACCATCAGCCTGAATACAGCTTTCTGGGTTGGTGGGAATCTTTACAGGGACACCTAATTGCCTCAGGAAAGTCATTTTCTACCCTTAGTGCCCTCCTGAGCTGAGCCAACCAGTTTACATTTTCCAGCGCAGTCACATTGCCACTACCTGGGCTAAGGCTGGGCATTTTGTTGTCACATATATGTGAACCTTTTTTGTACACCTGTTTTAAACACTTGGCATATGGCATATGACACAGAGAGAGCCTGGCTTATCTAGCAAAGATTTATGACCCTCACCCAATCAAAACATTTCAGATTCTTGAGGCTCAAGGCTGTCCTAAAAAAACAACAACTTGTATTCTGGGAGCAGGCATCTCTCTGGCTAAGTATGTGCTTCCAGCCTAGATGTGTCTTGGGTGAGTATATATAAGTAGACCCAGCTCAGCCCCGCAGAGCCGATCTTTCCAGAAATCTCTGATGTGCTCACCCAATTCATCTAGATCTTCAGTGGGTCTATTTCCCCCAAAAGGGGCTTGTGAATTGGACAGGCTCTGGCTATCACTATGGCTTTTAGAATCTTTGACGCAATGACCAGGAAATGTCAACCCCTGTGCATTTCAGTGTGTGTGTGTGTGTGTGTGTGTGTGTGTGTGTTGGATTGAGGTTGAGACCATTGCAGAGCTGTCTGCTGGAACCTTGCTCAACTACCCCCCCTTTTTTGATGACATGTTCATTTCTGGTTTGCCATTAAAATTATTTCCAATCATCTTTAATGATAAAATTTCATTATACATCATTCCAAAGTGTGCACATAAATTACTCCTAAATTACAGTAATGCATTCCCACCTGTTTAGGACTGCATATTACCCATATGCTAGCACTCAGGTTCCCTGGCCAATGCAAATACACATTTCTGTGTGATCTACACATAAAGGTTGACTGTTTAACATCTTTTTGGATATTTGCAGACTCAAACAAACTTAAAATCAAACACAGAAAAAAACCTGAATCTTCAAATGTTTTCACAGGAGTACGTACAAAAGTGCAGCCCTCTTAGACCACCTGGTTATACGGTTATACAGCCACCGATCGCACTATCTGTGCTCCTGTGAAGTTGAGTCATTAATTTCTATCTGCGGCATCAGAAAAGGTCCTCACTGCTCAACATGCACACGCAAGAACACACACGCATGCGCCTCAGGGAACAGACTAAAATGCGCACTCAAACAGGTGTCTCTACTGCGTATGCTTTGAGACTTGCCCATCACCCTGTACCACCACCTCCACTCCAATCCCACAAATGCCAAAATACGTGACTGGGGAAAACAGCCCACGGTCTTAGTTCCTGGGGATGGCTGGTAGACCCTGGGGTGAGGGCATCCTCTCCCCACCTCCGGGGCTGCAATTTGGGCATACAGGGCTCTGTCAGGCGCCACAGTAACAGGTGGGTTCCAGCACAGGACTTTTTTTCAACAGGTCCCCTCCACTCCCACCCAACTTCCCTCAGGGGACCCGCAGGCAGGGCCTGAGTGCCAGGGCTCCCTGACCCTGGGTCTAAGCCTCCCCCAACTCACTCTGTCCAAGTGGCATGAGGTTGCCCGCCTTGCTCTGTGGCTGCCCTGCCCGCCCTGGTGGCAACTGGCTTACCAATTGAAGACGTTCTGGATGACTTCAGGCATGGTCGAGGAGAGCTCGATGTAGAATTCCGGGAGGGAAGTGGTGTTGTTGCCCTCTGAGAGCCATGTCCTGATGAGTAGCAGGAGCACAGCGGCTCGCAGCATCCCTCTGATGCCCATGGCCGCAGCGCTCTAGGGGCCCGAGAGCGCTTAAGAGAGCCCACTGCCACTGGGACAGGGACGGGGTGGGGACAGTGCAAGGCGGGAGGGTGCTCGGGGGTCTCTAGGAGACAGTAACTAATGTAAGGAAAGCAGATAGGGGGAGAGGAGCAGCCCCCGCAGCTCTGCGGCAGGCATCACCTCTTGGATGCTCCTGGCAGCTGTGATGGTGCGCTCCTGCAGCCGCTTCAGGCTGTGACTGGGCACCCAGCTGGAAGCTCGATGGCTCCACCCACTCCTACCACGTCAGCACCCGCTGAACCAATCCTGCACATACCAGTTGCCGCACAAAAAGGCGGGAGCTCTTGTCTCCACCTAGAATCTGCGCGCTACTGGGTATCTCTCTCCCCCCCCCCCCGCCCCGCCCCCGCCCTCCCCTCCCTCTTTCAGGCCTCTGCAGAGGTTCCCAAGCTAGCCTGAGACAGACAGGGGCAGGGCCTGGCTGGGCGGGGAAGGGGGAGGGGAGCCACCTGCTAGAGGGCTAGGAGCTGATCTGTTGCTAGGGAGATTGGCTTGGTCCTGCTTTTCCTCTTTGCAAAATGAAAAATGTGCGTTTCTCTTGGATAAGCATGTGCTCAAGAGGGTGTGTGTGTGTGTGTGTGTGTGTGTGTGTGTGTGTGTGTGTGTTGAAGGGAATGAGGTGCTTTGACTACCCTGGCTGAATCTGTGTTCTGAAAGAGCTGGACACATTTGGGGATCAGGAGATATCTGACTGCTTCTCATTACCAAACCCCTGGCTCTCCAGTAACCCCACGTGCCTTGCCTCTGGGTGGAGTGGACAGTGATCACGAATGGGTTTTATGGCACCTCTGTGGCCATAGCAGGAGTGCCTTTTCTTAAGTATGGAAATTGGGCTCCAGGAGACTGAGAGTTTCTTGAAGGCTTTAGTTTCCCAGAGTATCCTTGACTCCAAGTTTGGGTCCCTGGGACAAAACTTAGGGAATTGGAAGGGTTTACCAACTAGGATCATCCTGAGTTGTGACTCTGTCCCCTAGCCAGGGCATGCAGAGTTGAAGTGAGAATCTAAGGCTGACACCATTGAAGGGGAAAGAAGGCAAAGGTGAGTGTTTCAGATGTTCAAGGGAATTAGCCCCTGGAGATCAGGCCATGCCAATGCTCCTAAATTCTGGCCCTATTATGTGGAAAAGCCTGGAACTTTGACTAGAGGGCTCTTATTCTTTCCACTACTTTGAATATTGTCCTATGAAACAGAAGGATCTCAAAGAATGAGGAAAATTCTCCACCCAACCCCTTCTGTCCTTCCCATCTCAAATCCAGGACAAAGCAAGTTCAAAAAGAGGTTCTCCTACAGTCCATGGGCCAGAAGGACAATCAAGAAATAGACCTCAGTCATGCTCACCAGTGTTGAACCTCCTAAGGCATGCCATTGGGAAGGATTGCAATGAAAATAAATTTCAAGTCCACTCTTGTTTAATTAGAACATTCACACAGAAATACAGCCCTCTTACCCTTTCTCTCAGCATTTGAAGAAGTGAATTGGGATTGTTTGTGCCCAGCAGAGCTTCAGTTGCCTGGTTGGCTGAGGTTTCCCCAAGGTAAGGGTTTAACTTTTTATTCCTGCTTTCTTAACCATTTTAGAATCAAACTTTAAAAGTCTTACAGTTCTCTGCCTTCTTTTCACGAACAGACCACCCTCATATCTTCCTTTCCCTCACTTTCCCCTGCTATTGCAGCAAATGTTCTCCTTCCCATGGGTGCAAAAATAAAAAAGGATGGTGGGACCTATATGTCACTTACTGTCATATACAGGAGTGGATCAATCGAACCTACTCCCACTGCTATTAGTTCTGTCCCCATTGTCCCTGGTCACACAGGCATTATTGTAGAGAGAATCTTACACCATTCCAGGTCATTTTGTCCAAATATTTGGATTGTAATATGAGGAAACTGAAGCCCATATAAGAAAAAGGGATTAAGCACATACAAAATGGACACATAACTATTGAGGCCCAAACTAGAATCCTGTTTCCAGGTTTGCCTATTTCCAGAAGGTTATGTTTCGTGTGACTGAGCTTTGACTGGAAGTTCAGGCAACCGCCAGCAGGTGGGAGTAGATTTATTTAGATGTAGGATGTTCCCAGCAACCTGGAATTAAATTCCACAGGCAGTGGGTCCCTCATTTGAAGCTTGAAGTTATAATTTTTGGGTGACCTTGTGACTATGGAGAGTGTCAAAAGGTTGATGATGATGATGATGAATTCACTTCCAGACCTTACATACCAGAGGGCCCTCACAAGAAAAAGAGGCTGAAAAGCAATAAAAAAATACCAAAATGTACTTGTTGAACTTTTGTCTATTAGAAGATCCATAAACATACAAATTGAATGGACTCAAGTCTGAATATGGGGTCATGTTATAGGAGAAAGAACATTGACCTGAAGTTAGTCCATTTGTGTTCTGAACCCAGGTCCTACCACATGACAGTGAATGTTCCAGTTTGACTGGAGTGTAGGGTAAATTTAGAGTTAGACAAGCGGTAAGAGGCAAGAGATTAGGCAGAACCTGGCCTAGTGAGCACCACACACACAATGCTCAATAAATAAATAAAGCAAGAAAGATAGTTTTGTACTTACTTGTCCAAACTAAGGAATTTGATTCTTATTTTAGAGTCACCATAAGCTTTTGAAATGTTTGTGCAGGGAATGACTTAATCAGAGTGGTGCCTTGGAAAAATCCCTGGTTACTTTGGAAAGGAGGAACTGGAAGTGAGATTGAGGACAATGAGAGCAGTTAGGAGGGTATCTTATACCTCTGCTTCTGGTAATGGCAGCCTAGGTGATTTGGACTAACTGTCCCAGGGAGTTCAGGTAAATAAACTGGATGAAATATAGGAAGAAGTTATCTTCATAAAAAGCTAAAACTAGTGAGGCTAATCTATAGATTCAACGAAATCCATATAAAAATTCCAAAGGCGTTTTTTTGAACTACAACAAATAATCCTAAAATTCATACAGAACCACAAAAGGCCACCCCACCAAATAGCCAAAGCAATCCTTAGAAGGAAGGACAAAGCTGGAGGCATCACAATTCGGATTTAAACTTTTTAATAAAGTTATAATGAAATAGTACAGTACTGGCATAAAAAGAGACACATAGACACATGGAACAGAATTTAGAGCCTAGATCTAGAATAAAGTCCAAGCATATACAGTCAACTAATATTTGAGAAGGGAGCCAAGAAGACTCAGTGGGGAAAGGATCATTTCTTCAATAAATGGTGTTGGGACCCTGGCCAGTGTGGCTTGGTTGGTTGGAACATCGCCCCATACACCAAGAGGTGGCAAGTTCAGTCCCTGATAGGGTCATGTGTGGGAAGCAGCCAATTGATGTTACACTCTCACATTGATCTCTCTCTCTCTCTCTCTCTCTCGCGCGCGCACTCTCGCTCTCGCTCTCGCTCTCTCGTCACTCTTGCTCTCACTCTCTCCCTTCCTCTCAAAGTCGAAAGAAAGAAAGAAAGAAAGAAAGAAAGAAAGAAAGAAAGAAAGAAAGAAAGGAAGGAAGGAAGGAAGGAAGGAAGGAAGGAAGGAAGGAAGGAAGGAAGAAAGAAAGAAAACTTAAAAACTAAAATAAATGGTGTTGGGAAAACTGGATAGCCACATGCAGAAAATGAAATTGGACCCCATCATAGAATACATAGGGAAAAAGCTTCTTGACATTAGTCTTGGCAATTATTTTTTATATGACACCAAAATTATAAGCAACAAAATAAAAAATGGGACTACATCAAACTAAAAAGCTTCTGCACAGCAAAAGAAACAATCAGAAAAATGAAAAGGCAACCACAGAATGGGAGAAAATATTTGCAAACCACACATCTCATAAGGGGTTAAGATCTAAAATATATAAGGACCCCATACAATTCAATAGCGAAAACACCAATAATCTGATTTTAAAACTAGGCAGAGGCACTGAATAGATATTTTGCCAAAGAAGACATACAAATGAACAACTGGTACATGAAAAGGTGGTCCACATCACTAATCATTAGGAAAATGCTAATTAGAACCATGAGCTATCACCTCATACCTGTTAGAATGGCTATAATAAAAAATACAAGAGACAACAAATGCTGGTGAGGCATGGAAAGAAGGGAACCATTGTATACTTGCTGGTAGTGTACATTGGTACAGCCACTATTGAGAACAGTATGTAGGTTCCTCAAAATGTTAAAAACAGAACTACTATATGATCCAGAAATTCCACTTTTGGGTATATATGTGAAGGAAATAAAATCAGGATCTCAAAGATATATCTGTACTTCCATGTTAATTGCAGCATAATTTACAAAGTCAAGACATAGAAACAACCTAAGTATTTTTATCAATGGATGAATGCATAAAGATGACATTATATACAAAGTGGGGCAAAAGTAGGTTTACAGTTTGTGTGTATGCAAAACAAAATTTATTCTTGTATTACTATTTATTAACTATTGTATTATTTTCCATATGAACAAGTCTAAACCTACTTTTGCTCCAACCTGTATATTTACTGTGTGTGTGTGTGTGTGTGTGTGTGTGTGTATCCCCTATATAATAAAATCCTAATATGCAAATCGACCGAATGGCCAAACAACCGGTTGCTATGATGTGCACTGACCACCAGGGGGCAGACGCTCAATGCAGGAGCTGCACCTTGGTGGTCAGCACTAAGGAGGAGCAAGCCCGGCTTCTGGTTGGTCTCCCCTCCCTGACAGTGCTAAGGACTCCTTGGGGGCTGTCTGATTGCCGGCAAGTGGATATCCTCAGAGGGGTCCTGGACTGTGAGCGGGCGCAGGCCAGGTTGAGGAGACCCCCCCACCCGCAAGTGCATGATTGTCATGCACCGGGCCTGCATATATATATATATATATATATAAATATAATTTGGCCTGCATATATATATATATATATATATAAATATAATTTGGCTATAAAAAATAAGAAAACCCTGCTATT